TGTTCAAACTGTGTTGTACTGTAGTGAATTTTAGCATTTGTTTGGATTCCTGTTTCTTCCACTTCTGATGTTGCATTATAGCTAATAACATTTAGTAGCTTAAAAGAGAACTATGGGGTACACCTTGTTTTGCATTTCTGGTGTCTTTATCTCTTCTTCTCCCTGTGTATGTCCCAAGACAACAAAGGAGAGGAGAGGAGGGCAAGGGCGTAGCTGAACTGAAGGTCTTAGCACCGATGTGGTATGTGTATTGTCTGGAGACAGCAGTGTGGAGAAGAGAGGGGAGGGGGGAATGAAAGAAAAACTGCAAGGGATAGATGTGCAAGCGTTTGTAAACCTGTAACCTGACATGAATAAACGTCTCATGAATACCCAGCAGCTCCTACAATGGGAGAGGAGGATCCTGACAATATTGTCGGGATCACTCCTCAGCACATAGATTAGCCCTATCCACAGTAGATCGATTAAATTGTAAGCTTATGGTGCATTTTTGAGTACATGAGTGCATTGCAAAATGTATTCCTGTATCATTGGGAAGCGACAAATAAAAAAAAGATGTATCACATAATTCTCCTTTTAGTCTCCAGGCATATATACATTAAATAATGCCTTTGGCAAGCACTGAAATTGCACCTCTTTCCAAAATCTGACACCCATATTTTAGATCACTTTATCATAAAATAAACTTAAATCTTCAATAAAAAAAGTCCACCTACATCAGAGTCCCACCCCCCTTATATTAGCATCCCAACGACCCCCTTTACATCAGAGTCCTAAGGATTATTCAAAGTTACCAACTGTGCCTCCAACTAAAGGTGACCCAAAACAATAAAGCAGGATCACTCAATTTGCGGTTGAACGAGACCATGTCTGGAGGGACAGTCTCTCTATAGCAACTTTTTATGTTTTTTTTTTTAGGCCTAACCTTTACCGATCTGTATAGATAAATATACTATCTAAGTAATTTCAGGTAAAAATCAATCAAGTTAAAGGCCAAGTTCATTGTTTATGATGCAGTCTCTCCCCCCAACGCTTAACATAGTTTTAATTTCCAGGATACAAAAAAAAACATCAGTCCTTGCATGACAAGTGAGGTCTTCTTCATCCTGTCTGGGGTCAGCGGTGGAGGGTTCTCAGTTCTGCACAGAATGGTGCTCATGTAGTGACATCCCACTGCTGCAAGTGGCGCCCAGGGCATGTACCATATGTGCCATGCCGTGGATACGCCACTGCCTAGCAGTAACTGGACCTACTTCCCACTTGCTGCACACAAAAGGTTCTTCTGGACAGTGATGGTACCTTTTCTCAACAGCTCAATTCAAATATACACATGTAACAGACCACTTACTCTCCTTAGTATACTGCCAAAGATGCACCACCTGCTTGTAACTTCCCTTTGATTGTCAGGATACTAAACTGAGCCTCGGGACCACCAAACTACTCAAGATATGGCTGTGCCCCAATCACTTTTGGAGCTGTTGTTTAAAACAATAAACCTTATCCACTGGATTTTTAGTGTGAGCATAGAGAGAGGCAATAAATCTAAAATATCCGATTTGTAGAGCTGTTCCAGATGGAAGTAATGCTGTTCATATCAGACCTACTTTGTTCTTTCTTCATTTAAACACCTTTTATGTATTTTAATAGCATTTGTTTTTATAGTCCAAATATGTCATTTTAACTTTTGTCTGTGTAAAAACCCATGCAACTAAAATGGAAACATTGCATTGCTGTTTCTACTTTGTACATAGGAATTTTAGCTTCCGTTGCTGGGAACAAAGGGAAGGTCCCACATGTGTAATGGAGTGAATGGAAACATTGCATTGCTATCTCTCCTTTGTACATAGGCATTCTAGCTTCCGTTGCTGGGAACAAAGGGAAGGTCCCACATGTGTAATGGAGTGAATGGAAACATTGCTTTGGCAGCACAGAAGGAGATGGATGGAAACGTCCGGGAATGCTTAAAGGTGTCTAATGCACATGCCTGCTTTTTCACTTCATGTGCATTTATTTTGCTTTGCAGGTTTGTGGGGCTTGGTTAATAACGCCGGCATTGCTACATTTGGAGAAGTGGAGTTTACAAGCCTTGACACATATAAAGAAACTGCAGATGTAAATTTGTGGGGAACTATTAGAGTGACAAAAGCTGTTTTGCCTCTGATACGTCGTAGTAAAGGTAAGTTGTTAGCGTACAGTTTATTTGTGTATGACCTGTGCGTCAATGATGCACTATATCTAGTGTGCCATTACCAAGCTCTATGTAATAAAGGCTTCACCACCCAAAGCTTCTATTTCAGTTTTGCATAGATGCGTGTAGAATGAATTCTCCCAAAAATACTGGTGGTGACATTTTTGTCAGATTCCCGGCTCCACCCATCTGCTGCCACCATTTCAAGACCACTCCCTGTCCCAGCGTTTAACTGATTATGGAGAATGAAGCAGGAGGGCAGAGCATGGAACCCAGGTGGGTAAGTCTGCCTGGCTTTTCTTCCCAGAACTGAAATATTGGTCTAGGATGGAGTCAGATGGGTGATAAATGGGTGCGGTTACTGGGGGTGTGGCCACTGAGGGGTGTGGTCACTGAGGGGCGCTGTAAAGCTTTCTCGCACAGGGCGCCTAAAGGCCTAAGGCCGGCCCTGGATGGCGTGACCGTTTAACCACTTTAATGCCATCATGATCTTGATTTGCTCTGGTATTGCCCTGCTATTTTTATTGAACACAATTTATAACTGAAAGTAAGGGAAAGTGTTTTTTTTTTTAAATATTGTAGAAAACTACTATTTTTTATGTGATTTCTTTTTTTTTCATTTTAAGAGTGGTTATTAAATACAACCAAAAGAAATCTCTATCTTAAAAAACTGTATTTGGGTACATTGTAACCTATCACAACACTGAAAACTGAGAAATTGCCTGGTAATGAAGGGGTATATACATGTTGGTACCCAAGTAGTTAAAAAAATCTACCTTTTCAGAGGAGGCATGTGTGTGGTTGGCCATGCCAGTGCTCAGAAAGAACTCTTGCAAATTGGAGTCTTCCGGTTTCCAAGATTTAAATGAATAAGGCAGTTATTCTGCTTTTTATTTTTTCAGTCTCTCTCACTGGTAACATTGCTTTCTTAAGAATTATTTGACACCAACATAGTAATAATATGACTTGCTTTAATTTTCGAAGATGTGTTTCAGGCACCATAGTGAGGCATTGTATAAAATCAAACTGCTTCTGAGAAAACCTCTCTGCAGTACAACCAATGACATCAGCAAGTGATTCCATCGTGAGTTTAATGAAAGGGTTGTATTTAATCGTCTCAGTTGGAAATAAAAGGCTAGTGGGAGTAAGACATTTCATTGTGAAGGGTATGCTTTCATCAGAAGCCGGATGTCTACAAAAATAGAATTTTTACGAAATCAAAGATTTTAAGCTCTCGTGTCACAGGATTTAAAAGATTATTTATTCCTAAATTTGGCTTGTAAATATGTGTTGGACGTGGGGACTCCAATGAAAATACGTCTGCATCACGTGTTGAATTTTTTGCTGGGTTGTAGGTCTATAGTCAATGGAATGAAGGTACCACAGGAAGCCACTTACAGAACGTTATCGAGCAAAATATAGAACCATACAGTACACCTGGTACTTTGAGTATATATTACCAGAACAATGAAAGTTGACATTTATTGGGAGACTTTGTTTTAGTGAAGAGCTTTCCACTACATTGAAGTCTTTTCTTTTTTTTCTATACTTTGAAGGAGAAGATTTAGAAGCCCTGTTTTCTAATCATCTTCTTTTTCTTTTTTTTTCTTTTTTATTTACACTTTGACCTTATCTGAAGTAGAATTTCAGGAAAATGATAATACACAACTAAAAATTCACATCTTTGCCATACAGTACAGCTCTGTCTTGCAGGGCAGAAGACCTCATTTTTCTCTGCTGCATTCAAGTACCACTTACAGGTCTTGTCCCTCTTCCAGCCTGTGACTGGGCAGTGAAATAAGGAATAACAGACAGTTGGCTTGTCGCTCTGTCACTCTGGTCTCTCCCCATATCAATATGCTTCTTTTAGCAATAAGCACTGCAGCACAACGGACTGGCTCCTTGTGTTGCTTCTCCCTCTGTATAGGGACTGCAAGAGGCTGATACCACGTCAAATTCAGGAACCTAAACTGCTATAAAAAAAAAATGATGATGCATTAAAGTGACCCTGACACTATAGCATATATCTGAAACTAAGCTATAACTGTGAAAGAAGTCTGAATATTTACCACTAGAGGTGCACCGAAATGGAAATTTCAAAACCAAAATGAAACCGAAATTTAAAAAAATGTCAGGTGGAAACCGAAAATTTTTATTTCATTTTTTCACATTTTAAAAAATATTTTATTTTTATTTATTTTTTATAAACTTTTTATATTTTTATTTTTTACTTTATTTTTAGGGACTTCGGGGAAATATTAGGGGTCTAAACAGACCCCTGATATTTCCCTTTTAAAATAGAAAAAGAGATCGAGGACACCAGAGTCCTCAATCTCTTATTCTGCATCCCCTGTTATCAATGAACAGGAATCCTCTATATTGAATGTTCCTGTTCATTCATAACTTGGAGATAGTATGGTTACTATAACCACAATCATGAATGAACAGGAGGTGATGAACACTCCCATTCATTCATAATTGAGACTATAGTAACCATACTATAGTCTCAATTATCTACAAAAACACTCAGCGATCACTGATCGCTGAGTGTTTGCATTGTCTCTCCTTTCTGATAGCGGTCACAGGAGGCTGAGTGAGCGGTGCAGGGAGGAGAGCTCAGCCTCCTGTGACAGCGCGGGCTGTCTCCGCCCACAATCTGCTCTGCCGATCTGTGATAGGAGGCTGAGCTGTGTGGGAAGAGAGACGCCGGCTGCTCACAGTGCTCTCCTCCCATAGCGCTCGTCACAGTTTCTCTCCTCCCTGCTGGGACACAGAGCAGTGCCCAGTGGGGAGAAAAGAAATCACGGATGCGCCGATGTATCAGCCAGAAAATGGCACCTTCGGCATTATGCCAAAATTGCCATTTTCAGCTGATATGTTTCGGCGGACGATATATCGGTGCATCCCTGTTTACCACTCATGCTGCCTGTGCCAGTGAATTATGCTCTGATGCTGAGGAATCTTCTGCAGAAGTGCAAAGGGAAACTGACACTATCCTGGGTGGAGGACAGGGGGAGGAACCATTGAGAATAGAAAAAAATTGCTAAAAATAGGAAAAAAAAAAGTATACTTACCTGATCCTCAGTCCCACTTGACTGCTAGACCGGTCCCCGCAGCCTCTCCCTCACTTTGGGCTCCGGCCGTCTAAGGACGTCATCACACCGAAGGCAGCTGCATTAGATGTGTGGATGCAGAGGGACATTCCACCTCCAGAGTGAAGGGGGAGAGAGGTGAATGCTCACCTCTGCAGGACTTGAGACTCAAACAAAAATGTAATACACTGAGTGGCCAGATTATTATGACCACCTGACGTTTGTAGGCAAATTAGCTATAATTTCACGCTGAAGTTGCTAGAGGGCCAGACCATTATAAATAGGGAAGCAGGTTGTTTACCACGACAGTAGAAGTGATTTTTTTCTGAAGATATGGGTAAACAACGCGATTTAACAGCCTTTGAACGTGGGATGATTGTTGGCGCTCGGAGCCATGGAGCGAGTATCAGCAAAACAGCAGAATTTGTTAAATGTTCAAGAGCAGCTGTTGTTAGTGTTTAAAGACTGGACGGTGAGCCGAAAATCTGGGTCTGAACGTGCGAATTGTGGCCGTCAGCGACTAGTCAATGTTAGGGCAGAACGGAGAGTGGCAAGACTGGTACAAGGCAACAGTGCAGTGTCAGATTCCTCGCATCACCTTTCAACATCTCGTGGAGTCACGAGGCGGCCCAACGAAGTCATCTCGTGGAGTCATCTGGTGGCCCAACGAAGTTCTGATGGGGTGGTCATAATAATCTGGCCACTCAATGTATATTGCAATGAAGCAGTCCAGTGAGGTGACTACATTCATTTTTTTTAAAGCTTCACCTGGTAATCCTTCAAATACACTTCTTGTCGCAGGGTAGCTGTGCTTACTCAATTCACTCTAATTATGGAGGGGAGCTATGGGTGTTTCCCAAGCTGAACTTCAGACATGTCGAAAATATAGGGTCACAACATAAATGTGAAGTCGCACACTGCTTTCCCCCGTGCACTTGAACAGCTTTATTAGTCTGTTAACTTTGTTCTAAGGTTAAGCCTCAATGGGGGGGGGGTCTCTTCTTCTCCTTCTTTACCCCTATTCCTTTTTGTTTCCTATTGTCTTCCCATGTGATGTATGTCTTGTTGTCACAAGTATCACTATCCTGATACTCAAGACCATTGGTCTATATCACTGCTCTTGCACTAGACACCTAAACTACACATTTTGGCCAAGCTCCACCAAGCTTGATGGGGTACTCCCGTAGGCGGAGATGTATGTCCCGTCTGACAGAACCTCTTAAGGGTATTCCAAAGTAGAAGCATGGCTGTGCCCAGATTGTGCCCAGATAACTGCTGATGAGCCCTCTCTTGAAATCTCCTTACATAGACCAACTTGTGCCACTTCATTATTGTGATACTTTTCATGTACCAATTGTTTTGTTGAACATGGATGACCTGTTTGCCACAGGCATCCGTTGAGATTGTAATGTCTGTATGTATACTTACACTGTTAAAACTCAATAAACAGTTATTTGAGAAAAAGATGTTCCAACGTAAAAGAATAGCAGTATGTAGCTCATAGGTTTTTATTTAGTTGCTGTTGTTTTTTAATAACACATGGTATTATGTGCGTATTAAGAGGTGACGTGCACTCATACTTTCTGCACCAGGTTAGTAAGGGGAAATAACACATTATTAAATATTCAGCTTGCCTCATTACCATTTTCCCAGAGGTGGGTAAGCAGGAGTCTGTTGCTTTCTAATGGTATTATCCCCTGAAACTGACAGGATCTGGTGACAATTGCCTCATGCTATGGATACTTTACCCCTACCATTATGTCTTATTTTGTGCTGCAAACTATATCCACACACTTCCTTATTTGGTTTTGTTTGCTTTTAAGGTCGGGTGGTATGTATGGCAAGCATGCTTGGAAGAATGGGCAGCCCATCCCGATCAAGCTACTGTATTTCCAAATATGGAGTAGAGGCCTTTTCTGACTGTCTAAGACAAGAGATGTACAAGTGGGGGGTAAAGGTAATTACAATTGAACCTGGAAACTTCATAGCTGCCACTGGAATATTCACAAAAGAAGGAGTAGAAAGACGTGGAGAAGAGATGTGGGAGCAAGCCTCCGAAATTGTTCGTGCCGATTATGGGAGAGTTCATTTCTCTCATCAGGTTGCCAGAATGAAAGCTTTTGTTAGTTCTGGTGTGAAAGATATGACTGCTGTTCTCAATGGAATCACAGATGCGTTATGTTCTAAATACCCATACACACGGTACAATCCTACAGACACCTACTACTGGATAAAGATGCAGCTTATGTCCCACCTTCCTGCTGGCATTGCGGACTGGATTTATATTCACTGAAGACAGTTTGTTTGTTTGAAATTACTGATGATAAAAAAAAATTGCAAATTTAAGTGTGCTGTGTTAAATACCATGTATGCTATTGTATAAAGGAAGGTCCATACAAGAACTGGACCAACTACTCAGGCCACTGAATAAATGTACTTTGGTGACCAAACATACCCTCCTACTCAACACTTTGTTCTGTGTGGGGACCCTGCCAAAACTCTGATTGCTATTGTTTCTGTGTTTGTTGGGTTTCCCCAAAGTTCAAGTTATTGTTTGCTTATGCCTGTTGCTGGGCAGTGTTCCTCAATAAAAGGAAACCATATTCTGTGCTATGAATAATTATCTCTGGACAATCACTAAGAGGTTCATTGCCAGCAATATAGGCTGGGGTAGAAGATATATATATGGGATGACCTTCTAGAAGGGTCTTTGTCTTTGCCTTCTGGGCTTCTGCCAGGAGAAGAGGCACTTCGTCTCCCAGGCCTGCTGCCTGGGGAAGTCTTTGCCGTAAAAAAAGGCATGCGCCTAAAGAAGCAGAGGTTGGCCTGTAGGATGTTTGCTGTCCTGCTGGAGGTACATCCCGAAGGAACCAATCAGGAAAATTATTGTTTGCAAGGAACAACATCAACAATAGAAGTGACATTTCAGGACCGAACAGCTGAGAAAGCGTTGGAATGCTTGACCTGTTGGCAGTCACACATTCCAGCGCCCAAAAATTGGGCGGGATTACATTATAATGTCACCGGTCACACATTGTAACGTAGTCACAAACTTTGATAGAACATCGCCATCAGGGGGGTACGGCCGGTACCCATGTGAGGGGTCTGGGGGGCCTCTTACATGAGTATTAGCTGTGCCGGCACGGCAGAGGTGACGGGGAGGAGGTGGAGGAGGCCAGGCTCCAGCAGCAGGTAAGAGGAGTTGGGAGGAGGTACAGAGAAAGGGACCCCAGCGACCAGCCCACCTAAGGCCCTGCAAAGCCCACCATAGAGAGTCTCAGATGGGCTGTGCAGGATCTATGGTGTGCTCTGCAGGGTCACTCTCAGGTGGGCTCTGCGGGGTCTCAGGGAAGCCCAGAGTCCAGTGCATTGCTGAGCCCAGAGTCCAGTGCATTGCTGAGCCCACACATACCTATATACATAAAAAACGATATATGCAGTGTTCTCTTCATTTTAGATGTCAAAAGGGTTTTGCGGCTCCCGGTGTTTTCTTTTCTGTGGGAAACGGGTCCAAATGGCTCTTTGAGTGTTTAAGGCTGCTGACCCCTGACCCAGGTAGTGACTACTTACCAGGTCATGGTTGGATTTGAAAGTGTATTTCCACTTCTGCAGTCAAATTTGAGAACACCCCACTATGTTTGTGTTTCAATTCATACCGCATATCTAAAAATATCATGGGTACAAAAAATGAAAAAAAGGCCTCAGTCATGAAGGGGTTAAACCGATATTTCTTACTTTTTTTAATGCATGTGTGTAGCATGCCTTTGCAAGTTCCCCTCTCAATTTTCAAGTGACGGGAAACTCTGGCTGTCCCCATAGACTAGAGACATTGAACCTCCCCTCACTAATATACAATGCTTCCAAATCTTAGTTCAGATCTTAGTTTAGATTAGTTCAAATCTAATTTACAAGTGATAGTGAAATCTGCCAGCACAGTACAAACTGGTTTCATTTATGTTAACATTAACCTGCCCAGCCCCCCTTGCATTCTGGAGCAAACTCTGTATAGACAATAATTTTGTGCATTTTGCAGGTAGCAAGTTACAAAAAAATAGTTATGTTTTGTTAATGATAAACATGTCACAAATATAAAATGTGCAATTTGGCTGCAAAAATGGAAATACATTGGCATCTACTAGAAGTAGATCTTAAATGCCATAGAGTGCCGTTCTTAAAAGAATGGTGCTTCAGCATTTGTTTGCTGTTCTTTTGTTCTCTTGCAGATGGAGCCTCTAACATTGTGTCCGCTTCAGGAGGAAAACTGTGCTGTATTACATTTACATTGTCTACTGGGCTGCTATTTAGTCAGATAGTAAATAGGATGTTATGAGATATTACATTTATACATCAAAGAGTACCTGTCACTGCTTGGCTGGGTGGGCCTGGCGATGTCCATCCTTTGTGATATGTAACTACAAATACTTGTGCCTATTACATCTCATGTGAAAGTTCACATGCAATTTGTAATTTACAGTTTTTTGCCTTTCCCTATCCACTCATAAAACAGGATACTCTACTCTCAGGATTAATATTATCTTTCGGCCCAAGCTTTGGAGGACAACGGCAATTCAAATCGGAGAGAGTAAAGAGACCCCACTTTTAAGCTGGAGTGTACCTATTCCAAATTAATGGGCAGCTAGGCTGTAGTCAGTCTGAGCTCTGATTGCTATTGCTCCTGTTTTTGTTGGGTTTCCCCTAAGCTCATAATATTTGCTTATGACTATTGCTGGGTAGTGCTCCACAGCCATAAGAAACCATGTACTGTGCTATGAATATTTGTCTCTGGCTAGTTACTACAAGGTTTATTACCAGCAATGTAGGCTGGGGATGGATATAAAGATTTAGGGCCACTTTCTGGAAGAATGTTTGTCTCTTAGCCTGCTGCCATGAGCTGAGGTCTCTTGCCCCCCAGACCTGCTGCCTGGGGTTTTTTTTGCAGTAATGAGGGGCCTAAGGAAACAGAAGTAGGCTTGTGCCTGGGGGCCTGAAGGATTTTTGCTGTCCTGCCGGAGGGTACATCCAGAGGAAGCTGAGCCGGAAGATGGCTGCCTGTATGGAGCAGCTGAAGAGTGTCCTGGGGAGCTGGGCATAAACCGTTGCTGTTACACATTGCGAGATGTTCACACTGCTCATCTGATAAGGTACTGTGTTTGATTGCATAGGGACTGGGTTCTCTGTAGCTGTTTTTACAGGGCCTACTCTCTACTTTGCTAGAAGGAAAGTCTGGAACTATTGTTGTCTGTTCTGGGGTATCCTGTGCCCTAACCCGCTCTCTGGAGATTGGTTGAGCTAAATAAACTTACTAATGTGACTGTCACCTAATTTCCATTTTACTCCATAACACATCAAGGATTCCGCCCTAAGAAGTAAAATAATGTCTGATCATCTAGGGGACATCTCCCAACAACCCAGACTGGAGGAGTGCTACATATAACAACTGGCTTTTCAATCATTGAAAGGAATAAGATGTAAACATTTCTGGCCAAACAGCATTTACAGCTACTTTCAAGATGTAATTTGCTTTATGACTTAACATGAGAAGTAACTTCTACCTAGCTTATTGATATTGGCCATTGGCAGGGTGGGGGGCCATGTTCTATGACCATTCATTTCTACAGCTTAAATCCACTTTATCCCCTTTCCCAGTCTCACACACAACTTTCCTGGTGCCAGCATGGCAGCATACTATCACATGTATGCTGCCATGGATTGGCGCCAGGATAGCAAAATGATGGGTTAATGTGATACAATTTCCTGTTATAAACATGCCTAGATTGGGCACGATCCTTGAATCAGGTGCTGTAGGGCAACTGTTTTCCCCTACATAAACCCCACAACAGGCAATCAACCTAAAATATACAGGGTTTAAAATGCCAGAAAATTGTATTTTAAAAATAAATACATTCATGTTTTCACTTCCTTTTAGAAGAGTAACAAAATTGAAATTATCAAAATATTGTACACTTTTGTAAATGATACTGAAATCTACAATGACTTTGTGTGGATTCAGCGAGGTACCGTAAACTCCCAGTTATCTGACACCCACAGGGATCAGTAGGTGCTGGATAACTCTAGTTTCTTGTTGCTGGAGAGTTAAAAATACTCTCAAGCAACCACCCCCTACCCCACCCCACCCTACCTCCTCTGCTCAGAGGGTGGGTGCAATAGCCAGCTTGCTATTGCAATTTGAAATAGCCAATAGCAGGCTGACTCTGGAAGACCCACCCATTGAGCAGAGGAGCAGACCTGAGAGAGAAAGTTCTCTCTCAGGTCAGCTCCTCTGCTCAGTGGGTGGGTACAAAAGCCAGCCTGTCATTGGCTATTACAATTTGAAATAGCCTATAGCAAGCTGGCTATTGCTCCTATTGTTTACATTCTGCTGCCGAATGCGGAATCTAGCCGCCGGCCAGTAGCAAAATGTAAACAAAGAGTTTTGTTAGCAACTAAATAAATGTAGTTGTCAACAAAAGTTTTTAGTGTGCACCAAGCAACCAACAATTTGTTTAGTGTGCATCAAGTCACGTGCAAAAAAAATAAAATGGAGGACATTTATTTTTGCGGTTGCTTGAATGCCGGATAATGGGGAGTTTCACATACTTCTCCATACCTGGAAGTAATAGGTATATTGTTCAGCTCTTTGCTCTTAATGGGGAAGCAAAGGAAAAGTAAGTATACCTTGCTCGGAGGGCTATATTTAAGTGAAATTGTTGCTTTACCCTGAATGGTTAAATTATTGTTTTGCTTTAAAGAGAACACAGGTTTCCTGCTTTGGCAAATGTACAGTTAGGGCAGCTCACATTTGCGCATGTGTCTTTAAAGGAGAACTATGGGGTTAGGGCTTTTCCCCATAGTTCTTCTTAGGGTAACGGGAGGACACAAACTAGCGTCCTCCTGTCACCCTAAGCTCAGTATACCGCGAGCTACTGAGAAGCCGCAGGTGGCGCGAATCCCGACAATTATGTCTGGATCCGCCCAGCTGCGTGAGTGACAGCTGGCTCTGCCTATCTAGAGGCAGAGCCAGCTGTACCCGCCCCCTCCCCCGTCCGTTCCGCCAGTCAGCGCTGGAGGATCGGAGCTGGGAGGGGGGAATCCAGCCCCTTCCCTGTCATGGCAGAGAGCCGTGACAGGATCGAGAAGTGAGCGAACGCCGGTATGTGTTTGCTCACTTCCCGATCTACTGAGCCGACCTGTGACAGTCTCATTGTCACAGGTCGGCTAGAACTATGAGGTGAGTGAAAAGCACTCGCCTCATAGTTCTCCTCTAATGCACATTACTGCATATGTAACATAATGCAATGTGTATGTGTGTGTTCTTACAAACATGAATGTGCTTTTTTTTAATCACACATGTTGG